AGTAGTATTTGTTATACCTTTGAAATGATGTTCAAAACTCTATCTTTACACTTGAAGCTTGATCACAATTGTCACATGTTAGAGCACTATCTTGATCTTTTGATGTTTACTTGAATACTCTTGCTTTTTGCATATGTATGTGTTTGAGTAGAAAGCTTGATATTGTTGTCTTCATCCAAATTTTAATGAGTTTGAAGCTTGCTTCTAAAATCTCCCCCTTTTTGATGATGACAACCAACCTTTGAGCATTTGTTTCTCCCCTAAAGGAAACGTTAGAGAGACCAATCCTTCTCCCCCTTTGTCATTAGCAAAAAGGAAGAGGAGCAAATAAAAAAGAGAGTAAACAAAACATACACACAAAGGATAGGCACAACACATATACTTAACACAACAAACAGAACTGTGTTTTTACGATACGAAACACACGCACAAAGTACGGTACAGTTACGAATACGAGACAAAAAACATTAACTAAAACAAATTCTATAAAAGAAATAAAAACAAGTGCTTTAGATGTCATCATCCGACATATCCTCGCTACCATCCTCTTCTTCTTCACTTCCGTCCTCATCTTCGTCATTGGGATTTTGAGAATTTATCACAAGTCTTCGAAGTGAGTTTGATTGTCCGGGTAGTTTCTCTATGTTGGAGGCAGATGATCCGTCTTCATACTTGTACGTTCCATCATTGCTTTTCACAATACCGGTGTTTTTGATGATGGTTATTTCATTGATCTCATTTGCAGTCGGTTTCATGGCAATGGATGGTTCCCTGTTCAGATCCAAATTCGTTAATTCCAGGATGCTAGAGATAAGGCGACCGGGAGTCGGGTAGAAAGAGTGAGCTGCTGTTGGAGATGATACATCATAGTTAATATCCAATTAACTTTGATTTTGTTTTTGATGGCAAACATCACTTGCATCTCAATATCATTGATCTGGCATGATTGGAATCTTTTGGGAGCAAAACATAGCAGATGATGTAGTGGAGCATACGGTCATTTATCGACAGATTTTTAACATAGCATAAGGTGCGAGCAGTCCAGCAATTACAACCTCTCGAGGAAACCTGCAAATGCTGTAGTAGTATTCCATCTTGTCATAATTAGCCCAAGGTCCTTCTCTGTGGTTGACACCTTTCTGGAGGAAAAAGGCGGTATATGGAATCTTGAGCGTTCGGCAATGTTTGACAGATCCTCGTTCAACTCACAGTCTCGAACAGTAGTGACAAGCATGTGTTGTCCAGCCTCATTCAAATTAATAGATAATTTGTTCATAAATGATTTCACCAAATCCAGGTAGCAAAGGCCATTATCAGAAACAAAGACCATTATCAGAAACAAAGTTATCTATTCTTTGATATTTTAGCAATGCTGGAAAATCGAAAGTGGGAGCTTGGAAGGCTTTAAGGTTGACATATTTTACCTTAAAGAGCTCTCTAACCCGAACTTTGAAGTCCATACTCCTCTTCTTGGTCGATTCCATTGGAGCATTATCTTCATTGACGCATTTTTCCCTTTTCTTTCTTGGTTGGAGCCATGGATGAGGGTTTGCAGTTCTGAGGTTTTGAAGATGATTTTCTGGATTTAGGGCTTGGATGTTGTGATGGAGATGGAAAAAGTGAGGATGTTTATATGGAGAGATATTTGAGTGGGATATTAAAGGAGAGTTATTGGTATAATGAGTGGGTAGAAGTTGGAATGAGTTTTAATGTGAGTCAAAAAGAAGAAAATGGTCCCAAGGAAAGTGGGTGATAATAACCATAAAGCACATGCACCAAAAAAAGGACTTAACCACACATTTAAAATCAGAATAGAATAAGTTTTCGTTTTGATTTTTAAAGATACGAACAATGTTAATCGGTTAACCGTGGGGGTTAATCGATTAACGCATTTAAAAAATAATTTGGAAAACAAAAACTAACATTGTTAATCGGTTAACCATGGGGGTTAATCGGTTAACACCTTCGAAAATGCAGGAAAAGCTAAAAAGCAGTAAGTTAAAAAGCTTGGTATACATAGATGCTATAAAGATTAACTTATGAAGAATTAAATATCACCTTTATCGAGGATTCCGAGCTCTCGCCGAATCTTGAAAAATGGTTCTTTCGCGAGTGGCTTTGTGAATATGTCGGCAAGTTGGTTGTGTATCTACAAAAGTTGGTTATGTGTATGTTTTGTTTACTCACTTTTATTTGCTCCTCTTCCTTTTTGCTAATGACAAAGGGGGAGAAGGATTGGTCTCTCTAACGTTTCCTTTAGGGGGAGAAACAAAGGTAGAGAAACCAAGTATCAAAGCAAAGCTTTCAAATTCAAAGGTTGGTTGTCATCATCAAAAAGGGGGAGATTGTAGAAGCAAGCTTCAAGCTCATTAAAGTTTTGATGAAGACAACAAGATCAAACTTTCTACGCAAACACATACATATGCAAAAAGCATGAGTATTCAAATAAACATCAAAGGATCAAGATAGTGCTCTAACATGCGACAATTGTGATCAAGCTTTTCATACAAGTTTCAAGTGTAAAGATAGAGTTTTGAATCATTTCAAAGGTATAACAAATATTACTTGAAATACATATACAAATGTTCAAATTTTCATTCTTCAGTACACATATATCACAAATGGTTTTAAAACATTTTCTGATTGTTCTCTCATTTTAAAATTAATTCTGTTTTAGAAAACCTTCAGTATTAGTCGATTAACACATTTGGTTAACCGATTAACACATTTCAAAGTTAGTTTGCTGGTGCAATACTTACGGTGTTAACCGATTAACCTATATGGTTAACCGATTAACAGGTGTGAATTTTGAATATTTTCTAAATGTTGAAGGGTGTTAACTGATTAACCCATTTTGTTAACCGATTAACACTGAAACAGTAAGCAAAAATAGCAGCTTTTCATGAAAATATGCATTGCTTTCTATTTGATTTTTGACTGTTTTTGCTGCACAAAATCACACCCTTTCTGAAAAGGTTTTTGATCAATATAAATTGCTATCAAATCTCAAATTCCAATTCACCTCCAAGAAACAAAATCATAAAAATTACTCATTCTCTTCATCTCTCAATTTTTCATAAAGTGTTCAAAATCAGTTTTTGAAAAGAAGCTTTTTGAATAAACTTTCACACTATCAAAGCTTCATTTCATTTCCTTTTAAAAGAACACTTGTATATCTCTTTGAGTAATATTTGTTATACCTTTGAAATGATGTTCAAAACTCTATCTTTACACTTGAAGCTTGTATGAGAAGCTTGATCACAATTGTCACATTTTAGAGCACTATCTTGATCCTTTGATGTTTACTTGAATACTCTTGCTTTTTGCATATGTATGTGTTTGCGTAGAAAGCTTGATTTTATTGTCTTCATCAAAACTTTAATGAGCTTGATGAGCTTGAAGCTTGCTTCTACAACTCAGTTTATCATAAAAACTAGTGCACTTGTTGATTTTCTTAAAAATTGTGCATAATCTTAAAAGACACTTAATATGATATGGAGGGAGTATATGTTATAAATTGAGAATGGTATGGTGCCGCCCCAAAAACATATTAGTGCATAAAAGTGAAAGCGCAATGTATGAGCTATTTCATCGGGATCGGTTTTTCCCTATGGTTATGCCACAAGCTGCGTTACATAGTTACGGGTACGTATCCAGTACCCGGTACAGAGTACGGTATTTTTAAAAATAACAAAGGAATTTATTGTTTAAATAACGTCAAAACATTAAAATTTAAAAACAATTTACTTAAAAATAGTTAATATTTATGCAATAACATAAATAAATCACACTTAAAAAGTATCAATAAATCATGAAATCATGATTAAATATTAATATTTTCCTCTCAAATATCGTTAAAAAGAGCGGCTTTTAGTTCAGGTTCATCGAAAAAAAGACTAGCAACTTCAAGAATATTAACTCCATCAAATAGATCTCATTCATCTGTAATATCCCACATTTTTGTTGCTCCTTCATTATAAATCTTGCTCTTTCTCAAAAGAAGACGAAGATTTGTATAAACAAAAACTAGGTTGAAATTTCAGTTTGCAGAGAGATTCGTGAGAACAGTAACGACAAAGAGGCAGAGAAGAGAAGGATTAAGATTTGGTTTTTCTTTCACTTTTTATTTATAAATAGAATAATTAACCTAATTTTTACTCCGTAAAAAAATCAACTTATACCATTTGAAAAAAATTAAAAAAAATTGGGTACTTGGTACCAAATATGTACCAGTCGGTGTACCAACTTTAAAATAAAAAATTGGTACGGCTTCGGTGCGTACTGTACGTGTACTGGTACCCGGTACCGGTACTTTACCTGTAATGGAGTACCCGTGCTTCACATGCCACAAGGCTTGAACTCATGATGATTGGTGTAAAATGCTCTTGGAATAGAGCACCGAAACCACTGTTGAAACACATTGGTGTGAAGGATAGCTCAACTACTGGTCGAGTCAATCCCTTACCATTAACTAGTTATGCTTCATGTAGTATTAATTAACAAAGAAAAAAATCCTGAATTAGAGCAAATAAGTTCTAATTACATGTGTCAATATCAGCTAAAACTACCCATTGTATGTGTGCTTAAATATACTATTTAATTCTTACAAAAACCACCACTTTTGGGATCATTTATGTGATAAAGAAAAAAGAAACTAAAACTACATTTTCTCGTGTTCAACTTTACATCATTTTCTCTTGAAAGAAATGTGTTAATATTTTAGGAGGAACCAAAAACTTGTGATTAGATAGCAACTTTACTATCTTAACTTCTGATTAGAAGACCTGATCTTGGCCCTTTGTAGCTAGCTATCTTGGTAACATATGTCATGTTTGATTGTTGGTCAGAATATAATCATATTTCACACAAAATCTGTACTTCATTTAGCCTAAGTTAAGATATCAGTATCACTTCTTACTTTTCTCGCTTCTTGGTGTTCACTTATTTCGTGTTCACTTATTTCTGTCCAATTAAACTCTCATTGTCCATAAATTATATAGGGAGGTGCTGAAAGGGAACAAGGATTACTTCAGATACTGACTGAGATGGACGGATTCAAAGTTTCCACAGCACAAGTAAGCTTTAATTGAATTCCAAGATCATAAAGATATTATTTGATATACTGAATTTGAATTTCAGGTACTTGTGATAGGTGCTACAAATAGATTGGATATTATGGATCCTGCTCTTTTGAGGAAGGGTCGTTTCGACAAGATCATTAGAGTTGGTTTGCCTTTAAGAGACGGAAGATTTTCCATTTTGAAGGTATTTTACCACCAAAACTTTGATTTACTGGGTTCCTATGTAGCAGGGACACCTCTAAAAAATGGCGTGTCCGTGTCGGGGTCGGGCACCTGCACTGACACTTGTGATTATGTTTAATTTATTCATTTTTTCAAATTATTGGCGGTGCCGCCATGTCAGTGTCGGGGTCGTGTTTGGGGTGTCTGAGTCTATAGTATTTCAATATTTTAAATTTCTCTTTTCCTTTTCTTTTTTGGTGCAAACTGCAAACTAGGTGCATGCTAGGAATAAGTCTTTTCGCTCAGAAGAAGAAAAAGATACTCTGCTTAACGAAATTGCAGAGTTAACAGAAGATTTTACTGGGGCAGAGCTGCAAAATATACTGTAAATAATCTTCAATTGAAATTTCTGCATCAATCCATCATCAGAACATAGACTGACACATCTCAAATAAATGACAGGAATGAAGCTGGAATTTTAACTGCCAGGAAGGATCTGGATTATATTGGGCGTGATGAGTTGCTTGAGGCATTAAAAAGGGTTTGTGATTTTTCAGCTTCTTTCTAACTCGGCAATTTCTTATGGTGTGTTTAATGCATTTTTACACCATCTAATGAAACTTATGGATTTGCAGCAAAAAGGAACATTTGAAACAGGGCAAGAGGACACTACAGAAATTCCTGAAGAACTGAGACTGAGATTAGCATATAGAGAAGCAGCTGTTGCTGTTCTTGCATGTTATTTTCCTGAGCCACTCCGCCCTTTTATTGAGGTAACTTTATTTCTTTCATTTTTTGTTGAGCAGCTTCATTATGCGTGGAAATGTGATTGTTTCAAATGTGGAAATGTGTGTTCATTGTTTGCAGACTGATATAACTTCTATTGGCAGCCAGTCAAATATGTGTTATAATGAAGTTTCTGGAAAGGTTTTTTCTAGGAAATCAGATTACATAAACTCTATAGTGCGTTCTTGTGCTCGTAAGTTGTTTGCTTTTTAGGTCATTTTGATAATTCTTCTCTGCATTATGTCTTTATTCATTATTTTTTCATCTTTTAGATAGTGTTTTCGAAAACATAAAATGTTTTGTTAACCGTAAAATATATGAGAGACCAATAATATATGGATTGCATTATGATTTCATTGTTATACAACTTTTTGGCATGTCCCTTTGCTTTTTGATATGAGAATCTTTGAAGTTAATCCAATAGCACCCTACTTATAACAACAAAAACAATCAAACCTTGGGTTGACTACATGGATCAAATTTTACCATAATGCTCTATCCAATTCGTTAATCTTGAGATCTTTCTTAATACTTTCTCTTATATTTTTTCTAGGTCTTCCTCTACCTCTAGTTGTTTGACTCCTCTCCATTTGATCTACTCTCCTTACAGCAAAATTCACATTAGTCTTCTCTCTACATGTCCACATGACCTAAGTCTATTTTCCATCATCTTTTTTACTATAGGTGCTACCATAACACACTCTCTAATATTGTCATTTTTAATCTTATCCCGTCTAGTCTTACAACAGCACATCTAACAAAACATCCCCAATCCCACCTCTTCTATACTTACTTTATTCTCATGTTGATTTTTAACTGTCCAATATTCTGTCCCCTACAACATCCCAGGCCTTACCGCTGTCCGATAAAGTTATTCCTTCAGCTTGAGCGGTATTTTTGTGTCACATAAAACCCCCCCCGAGACCCTCCTTCATTTCAAAACCCTACTTATATCCTCAAAAATTTGAACCCCCTTGATTATTTTGATGAACACTTGTTGAGGAATTTGGATCCTAGCAATAGTGTTCAACATGTGAACTTTCAATGTTAGAGGAATTATTTTTGTTATGAAAACCAACAACGACAACGTTCTTCAATGTAAGCTCAAATAAAATTGTATACAAAGAGCTTTTTGTAGCTAGCACAAAAGGTATTAACTGGATTTGGAGATTTGGTTATTAAGCTTATTTAAATTTGTTTGTAGCAAGAGTAATTGAGGAGGAGATGTTCGGGATAGACAACTTGTGTTGGATGTCTGCAAATGCAACATCAAAAGCTTCAAAGCTTGCAGAAATTTTGATTCTGCAGACTGGTATGACTGCATTTGGGAAAGCATATTACAGAAACAAAGGCGATCTTGTGTCTAATGTATGTGTGCAGGATTTGAGTCTAACAGCTTCTGTTTCAACACACACTGCGTCCCCTGACAAAAGTATTTTATGCATATAAACAAGCCACAACTGATGTTCAAGTTTTTTGTACAGCTTGTAACGAAGCTTGAGGCACTCCGAGATGAGTATATGCGTTATGGTACAGAGAAGTGTTCATCCGTGCTAAGAGAATACCATTCAGCGGTTGAGACAATCACAGGTCTGGTTCTAGTGCGGTTTACATGTATTGAGAAAATCTCAAGTCTCATATTGGTTAGACATAGTTTGAAAAAAGTTCATAGAGTAACAAACCTCACTTTACAAGCCGATTTTGTAAGGAGTTAAGCCAAACTCTAATTCTAATATGGTATCAAAGCCTATCGTTTATATTTACACACCAAACCAATAGAGCTCTGATACCATGTAGAAAAACAGGAAGTTATTTCGATTAGTTCATGATAGTTAAGGCTTGTTTTTAGGAAATAACTGTAAAAAAAATAGAATACATGAACTATTATCAATATTTTCATAGCAACTTTTCTACATGCGTATTTGTTATGCAGAGATTTTGCTTGAAAAGGGGAAGATCAAAGCTGAGGAGATTTGGCACATTTATAAGAGTGCTCCTCGTGTAGCTCAGGTAGATTTCAAACTAAAGTGGAGTATGCTGTCCTGTTTTGTTAGTAGGCCTTTGGCATTGTTAGACATGTTATGAACAGAAAAACATTTGTTGGATTCTTTTAAGGGTTACAAACTCAGAATTTCAGTATGGCAAGCTGTAGTTTTTTTTTTGTTGAAATTTTTTATCATCACCCTTAGTTGAACAAATGGTTATTTGTTCACGATCTTCTTTTTTCGGGGGCCCTTTTTAGCCTTCTGTGAGTCCACTTGATGAATATGGAGCACTGATTTATGCTGGACGATGGGGAATCCATGGGATCAGTCTTCCTGGGAGGGTTACATTTGCACCGGGCAATGCTGGATTTTCGACCTTTGGTGCACCACGCCCTGCAGAGGTTTTTTATTTTCCAAAACTTGTTTTATATGTTGCATTCATTTATTATTTGTCTTTGCGATCTGGATTCCTTTATTTATTATCTAAACTTCTTTTCACTGTAGACGCAAATTGTTAATGATGAAACATGGAAGCTAGTAGATGATGTCTGGGATAAAAAGGTTCAGGATATTAGAGATGAAGCTTTAAGGGAGATTGAAGAAAAGAAAGAAAAGCCACAACTTTTGATGGCAAGTCATTTCCTCTGAGGGGAACTTGTGTATTTGACCTGCAGGTTTGTGAGCATTTTATTGTATTCCATCTAGCTGGTTTTGTTTGTGCCTGTGGTGAGTTATGAAATGAGGTGATAACTGGAACATGCATTTTTTAACTTGATTGCCATGGACAGGAACTATCTACTGGGAAACATATAGAAATCATTTGTCAGTTATGTAAAAGAAGTAGCAGAAATGTCTCCTTTATGCAGAGTACATGGATCAACTAGCCACTCTTGTTTTTTCCCTCTGGTTTGATATTGTAAATTTTTTATCCTGCTCTTTTAGTTGGTAAGCCGCCCTATCAGGATGTTTTCCCTCCCTTACCCAGTTCTTTATTAGCTGGAATCTCAATTTGGAGTGTATATTATCAAATCAAAGTTGGGTCCTCTCTAGAACAGTTTAGCTGAAGGTGATACCATATTTTGGAAGAGATCTTTTATGGCGCACTGGGATTTCTAGTCTGATCTGTTGAGTAAGTGAAGTGGATTACTTGTTAGTTACTTCCCATATTGTAATTCATTATAGGGTTACCATGTTAAGGCAATTGTAAATTTCTCAATTGACTTCAAAAGTATCTATGCTGTTGTTACTATGTCTAATGATGAATTAAAGTGTAAAGATTAAAGAACGCTATACTGCTTACTTTACATGCTTTTTCATCACCAGCCCTGCGCAGCAATTAGTCTCTCACTGAACCTCATATCCATGAAGATGATTTAAAAATGACAGTATCGTATGTCAAAAGTTTTTTTTAATGAAAATTATTACTTGCCATTTTGCCAATGGAAGAGCTGAACTCATGACCTCTTTGGCACTTAAACTCCTATGGCGTTCCTCGACATCGTCTTATCACTCCATAGAGCAACGTCAAAAATGATATGCAACCTATAGTACTTCAAATTTAATATTATCAGTAGATATCATATAATAATTCCTTATACTGATTAAGTTATTTGAGTAGAGGATTTTTAAAAGTTGTCTACATTATTGATTCTTGTCCATACCTTGTAATTGTGTCATTGTCATCAGGTGTCTTTTCCTCTGCAACTAAGCACTAAACTTAAGGCTGATTTTTCATTGGTTGTATTACACCTGCTCGTTTTTTTCCATTGAATTATCATGTCTTAAAATGGGAATAGGTTACTTTATTGATTCATAGGAATTTATTGATTCATTGTTATTAGGCAAACTATCAGCTCATCAAACAGTTAAATAAATTTAAGGTTTAGATGTATTTTTGGTCTTTTTATTTTAAATAAAAATAAAATTATAATCCTCCATTTTAAAAATCAGCTTGTTGGTTTCCAATTTCAATTTTCCTTGTGTTTTGGTTCCTTGCCTAATTCTAGATTGTCCAACAAAACTGAACTTAAAATAGAACGAAGAACCAAAACTCAAAAATTAAAATTAGAGGACCAAAAACTGACTTTGGGCACGTATAATCCTCTCACTAATTCATCGATGGTTTTATTTTAAACTCGATACAGAAATTGTTGTATCTTGTACAAAACTCATGGGTTTTGTTCTTGTTTCAAGCTACAATATTGAGTTCTGAATGATCATCTCTAGTTGTTTTAACCTAGAACCATAAGATGAAAAAAAGAAGTAAATAATATTCCTAATATAGTAGATGTTGAGTAAATCTTTTTCACTGTCCAAGTACAAAAAGTAGACCAAACATAAAAGTTGTGTAACTTTTAACTTTTAACGCCTATACGATCTAGAAGGACCCAATAATGGGAGGTTAATGCTTCTCCTATTGCCTAGTATGCACTGTCCAAGCAAGTATTGCTGTCTTTTCCCTTTGCCAAAGTAGTCACGTTTCAGAACATGTTCGATATTCTTGTTGGTTTATGACCCGTGACCCTTGTTGCCTCGCCTCTAAGATGTTTTTATACTAGTAGACAACCTAAGCCTTATGATTAGATGACTTGCTACCTTCCAAATAGAGCCCTGAATCACTCCTTAAGTAATAAATCCAACAAGAAAAAACAACTCATTTTTGATATTTCAAGGTAGTCCCCTAGAAAATCATCATATCATATATTAATAGATGATAATGTCCTTTACTTCTAGGAGTAGAGATTCCTTCGTGAACAGAGTTTGTCACGTGAGGATTGATCTACTTTTCCTACATAGTTAGTAATATATTACAAGAACTTAAGGTCCCATCTAACCTTATAGACTAAGGTACAATATTTAATATGGGTTACAACATGGCAAATCTAAATAAGATATCAATAATCTACTTTAAATTTGTTCATAAGATTTCTTGATCAAATTTTGTAGATGGACAAAATGTGATTTAAATGATCACCCCATTCAATGTACAAAAGTTTTATATTTACATTTTTTTTTTCAATTAGTCTAATGATCAAATATTCACCTCATAAAAATAAAAATAAATAATATCGTGGGTTTGAATCTGCGATGTAATCAAATTTCTTTACGTAATTAATTCCAGATCTAGCTTAACAATTTTTTTAATACTTTTTTACATACGACATTTGAGTAACTACATGCAAAAATATTAATAATTTAGGGATTAATTCAATAAAAATTTTTGATTATTAACTTATTCTACACAAAAATTATTTGTATCTAATAAAATTTAAATTTGAGATCTCGAAAAAAACACTTTATTAAAAATTATCTATCAACAAAATTGGTTAATATTAAAAAAAGAATCATCCACTTCTTGACTTTATTACCTCAATTTTCTACTATATACTAACTTTCCTCTAAAATATTCCTAAATTTTCTCATCTCCATAATGGCTTCAAAGATCAACTTCTCACAATTTCTCCTCCTCCTCTTCCTAGCACACTATCCATTTGTAAATGGAGACACCACTTTAATCAAAAGCACTTGCAAGAACACCAAGTACTACAAACTGTGTTTCTCTTCTCTCAAATCCAACCCTACCAGTCCAAACGCAGACACAAAGGGCTTAGCTCTAATCATGGTTGGTATTGGAATGACAAATGCCACTTCCACTTCTTCATACTTGTCCTCCAAATCTCTCACACCTACCAACAACACTACTCTACAAAGGGTCCTCAAAGAATGTGCAGATAAGTACTCTTATGCTGGTGATTCTCTCCAAGCTTCAGTGCAAGATTTGGCTGGTGAAGAATATGATTATGCTTACATACACATCACTGCAGCTAAAGATTATCCAAATGCTTGTCATAATGCATTCAAAAGGGTTCCTGATTTGGTTTACCCTCCTGAGATTGCTAGTAGAGAAAAAGGTTTGAAGCATATTTGTGATGTGGCTATGGGGATCATTGATAATCTCATTAATTTGTAGGTAGATTCATGCACTTTTTATTACTTCTATTTTGCAATGTAAAATCTTGTTCTATTTTGCATTTTTCCACTTTATATTTATTTTTATCTTCTGATTGTAATTAATTATAAATTATAAATGGGGTATACCCATGTTTTATTAATATTAATATAAGCCTACTTGGAATTTAACATTTTGTTATATCTCAATATATTTACTTGGAAATACATATTTTACTCGTTACATCTTAATATTATTGATCATAATACTATCACTATGTGTTGAAGGATTGATTTCCAACTAAATGTGTTGTTAAACACTATCATAGTTACTAAGTGGTTTTCTTGTGTCCAAGCCACATGCATAGTAAAAGTCCACAAAGCCTTGAACTAGTTGAGGTGATTATGATCCTTTGCAGTATAGTACATACATGTTTTACGTCCCAAATGGAACTTATTGATATTTCCTTTTTGAAAAGGCGTTTACTAGATAGAATCATGGTGTCTGATGGCCGGTGGGAGTTGTGGGGTATGACCTATAAGTGGGTTCTACCATCGTTTGATTGTTCTCCTTTACTCAAACCACTTTGGGGTCCAAAGTCTTTCAGATTCAATAATCACTAGCCAGACCGTTGTGATTTACTTGCGGTGATTAAGGAAAATCTTATCTCTATTGGTTAGAAGGACTTTTACAAAGGTTTAGGACTAGGGGGCTCAAGAAATGAGACACTAGTATTGGTTTCTTCCAGGCTGGTGTGAAGAGTATAAAAGGATGAATGCACTTTTGGCGCTCCGTCAATAGGTGGTAAGTTACTTCAGAACAATTAGCTAGTAGGTGGTAAGTTACCTCTTAGAGAACCCATTTTCCTAAACTTTTTAGATCTTTACTCAACATAATCAAAATGTTTGTAAGCTAAAAAAAGGAGGCGAGTTGGGTGTTTATGATTTCGTTTGATAAATTTGGAAAGATATTCTTTGGCAAAATATGTGTTAAAAAAAGTATGACAGAGAATAACATTATGTGAAAATTGTTATAACATATAATATATTCTTAACTAATTCAGATTTCAAGTACACTTATACTCTTTAAAACAAATATTTAACTACATCTCACAACACTCTAATATAAAAGTATAAGAGAATAAAAAAAGTGCATTTGACCAATACATCTTAAAATAAAGAACTTGAATCTTATATATAGTCTTGGACTCTCCATTCCTTTACAAAACTAAGCGATGTGAGATTTAAAAAGAACTTGTATCCTATATATAACATTGGACTCTCTCTTCATCCACAAATCTAAGTGATGTGTGACTTTTTCAACATACATATTTTCAACCAACCCCAACAATCTCCACCTTGATTGAAAATAATACATAGACTTTCATTGTCTTTACCAACAATCATACTCCACCATAAAGAGTATCAACATGTATATTTTCAATCAACCCCAATAATATGGTGCTATGACGGTCTCATCCCTTTATGAGGGAAAATAATCTAGTTATATATTGACTTTTAATTAATGGAAAGGTATTTTCCCTCTCGACTATGATCATATTGATTTAAAGAGAGTGTGACCAGAAAGGTAGGGGACAATCTACAGTCTTCTTTCCAAGACGATCCTTGGAATCAATCAACCTCTTTGATAGCATGTTTTACTAAACATATTTATTTCTTTTTTCAACATAATCATAATGTTGGGTTAGATGGTTTGATATTTGTTAGAAAAAAGAGGCAGGTTGGGTGTTTATAATCTTCGTTTGATAAATTTGGCCATGTTCGAGAAATAGGGGTAGAGGTTGATCTTATATGATAGGGTCTTTGGAAAGATATTATTTTAGCGAGATATAATGCTCTGTTTGTCTCATCCCATTGTGAGGGAATGTCATTTAGTTTTAGATTGACTTCTACCCAGTAGAAAGGTGTTTCCCTCCTTGGATTTTATCCTATTGATTCAATTGAATGGCTTAAGGAAAGCATGACCGTAAACCCAGGGAACGATCTACACACTGTTCGGTTGAATATGAGAGTATAATGATCTAGATTGCAGAAGAGGGGGTTGAATAGACATGTTATGGACGTTTGCACAATTTACTTAACAAACATAAAATATAATGAAAATCAGACTAATGAATTTACAAACACACAATGTATTGTACACGAGACTTCACACACAAGAGAGAGTAAATTGTGTTGGATTGAAAAATATATTTTTAAAATAAAATATTTTACAAAAATAAAGTTTAAAGATCTTTTGTAAAACAAACATAGTAAAAGCAGCCAAAATAATAAAAATGGAATTGTAGTAGAAATAAATGATTGGAAATAAAGAGTTAAGGGACAAAAGAAGACACCAGAATTATAGAGGTTTTGTCTTAATGAAGTCACTTAATTCTCTCCCCTAGAACTTCTCCTTAGGAGTTTCCACTATCTTGAGAATTTTTAACAAGATATTTTCACGAACCTCCTTTTGCAAGGATTGAAGTTTTTCTACGGCTAAATTCCTAACCAAGACTGGAGTTTTAAGTATGAAGAACTCCTAAATCAACAAAGAACTTTTAGCACATGATAAAATTATGAACCAAGAGAAAGCTTTTAATAGATGGCTAAGCTTCCAAACCTACTGAGAGTTTTAACTACAAAGACCTCCCCAACCAATCAGAGGTTTTACTTACTTTACCTCAATAAGCAAAAGAGTTTTTAATGGTTTATCTCATAACCAAATAAACCTTCTTAAAAGGAAAATATCGCACAAAATATAATACACTCTTGAACAATTTTCAAATTTGGCCCACACTAGAAATAATGATCTTCACAAAGCACAAAGTTACCGTCAAAGCACTAAGGGAAAATTAAAGTGAGAAAATAGTGTTTTGTAGAAAAAGAGTGGTGAGTGAAAAGAGAGGCTTTTCAAGAGGTTTAAGTGTGTGTGTGTGTGTGTGATTTAGCTTCGTAAATTAAGAGTTTGTCTTATACTTTTTTTAGACATTGATCACTCGACACAGGCTAACATGCTTTCACACTTCTTCTCTTTCACAACTCTGAAGCTTCTGGTTCCTTACCACATTATCTTTGACTTTAAAATTTATCTGGAAACTTGAATTTTTTGATGAGGCTTGAGATATCTCTTCATAAGAATCTTAATCCTCAAACAAACTGCTTGATCAGAGATCTTTACTGACTTCACCAAACACCATTTGACATAAGGTATTGTCTTCATAGATAGGCACATATAAAAAATAAGGTGTTGTCATCATAAATTATTACACATTATTTTTGTATAATTGATAATCACGGTTAATACTGAAAACTTAATGCCAACTTGTTAAGCAACACATATTTGAACCTTGATTTTCCTCTTGTTGAATGCAGGTCACAAACCACCAATTCCATAAGATCTTCACTCGATCCTGAGTCAACCACCTTCTTAGGAGAAAAGTAATCCAATATTTCATCTGTAATGATCTTCATTCAATCCTACCACAATTCCCTTATTTGAGTCTTTGAACTACTGAAGAAGTTAGAAACTCAAAAGTTTTGTCTGCAGCGGTCTTCACTCTACCCTACTAAAATTTTCTTTGGAGAAGAAATTACTCTTACTCTTAACTGGAAGGCAGTCTCTAGAATCCATAATCGAAATCCAATTCTTCAATATGATAATACACAATAAGCTTCATAAATAATCATTTCAATCCCTAATGTACCTTTTAACTACCCCTCACATCCAATCATTCTAAAAAACGCAAAAACAAATCATTCAAACTTCTTTTTGCCCTTTGGGGCCTTTAATCTTGGAAAATCATTTTCATAAAGAGAGTTTTGTTAACTCTTGGTTCTATCGCAAGCGGTAACGCCTAAGTCTCCAATGGTCGAGTTGCATACACCAACTGCTAGAACTGATTGTTAACCCTACTCGGGTAAAACAGTTGAACAAATCTGTGTTCCCTTTTTAGTCCGAACTACGTTTTCTTTGATCTTTCATACCAGATGAAAGTACGTAGGCACAAGACGCGATGTCTTGGCGAGCAACCTTCCCCCCTTTCACTCGTAGTTAGTCGAACTACGTTGACTCTGACTTCTCACCTCAGATGAGATACGTAGGCACAAAGCGGCGTTGCTTTGCCGAGTCACTTCTTTTTATTTTCTCCTCAAGCCTGTAGTTAGATAGTTTCAATCACCCTTTTAGACTAGACAACAAAGCGTGGATCCCGTCGAGTACGACAGATGTGAGGGGTGTTAATACCTTCCCCTTGCGTAACCGACTCCCGAACCCAAGATTTGGTTGCGATGACCGATCTTATCCATATTTTTGTTAGGTTTTCTCTGAGCATTTCCTTTCCCTCTCTTGGGATAAATAACGCACGGTGGCGACTCTTCTGTCATTGCCGGCCTTGATTTTCGCAGTAGCGACATTGACACCGCGCCAAAGACATCTATGACTCGCTTCGACTTTGATAATCCGATATTTCAAGCCGAAGAAGAGATTGATGAAGATGAAGACTTACCAGAAGAGCTAACCATACTCTTGAAACAGGAAGAAAAGGTTATTCTTCCTCATCAGGAGGAAATCAAGGTTATTAACTTGGGTTCTGAGGAAGTTGTGAGGAATGTTCGAATAGGGGCTGCGTTGCAGAATGACATCAAGCACATATTCGTTGAAATTCTCCGTGAGTATAGTGATATCTTTGCTTGGTCGTACGAAGACATGCCCGGGCTTGACACAGACATCGTGGTTCATCGCTTGCCATTGCGTGAAGAGTGTCTGCCGGTCAAGCAGAAGCTCAAGCATACTAGACCAGATATGGCTGTAAAAATCAAAGAAGAAGTCCAGAAGCAGTTAAACGCATGATTTTTAGCCGTTATAACTTACCCTCTGTGGGTCGCCAACATAGTGTTTGTGCCTAAGAAGGATGGCAAGGTACAAATGTGTGTTGATTACAGAGATCTGAATAAGGAGAGCCCGAAGGACGATTTCCCACTCCCCCACATTGACGTATTGGTTGATAATACTGCTCAATA